GGGGGGGGGGGGGGGGGGGAAGAACTTATTTTATTCTCTCCTTTTTAGTGCAAATTGCCTAAACCACCTTTAACAACAAAAATTATTACACTAACATTCCAACTTTCATAAATGGGTAACCTTTTTTTTTTTTTTTTTTTTTTTTTTTTTAATCTTGCTTTCTTCTACAATCTTGATCCCATGTGAATGTTATTACGTTTAAACTCTTCATTTGTCAGATACAAAAAGCTATGCGAGGATGGATATGAAAACAAGGACTTCTCTTGTGTGTTTCGTCATTTTTACTCCGGTGACAACGAGTTATAACCTGATTTGTGTCACATTCAAGTTGTGTCCATTGAGTACAATCATCCACTACTCTTGATGAAATGAACCATGGTACTTGTAGAAGTAACACGAACCCGGAAATAAAAGGGAAGAATAAATTATGTAGTTCTTTTGGGGTTTTAATGCAATATTCTTCTGAATTTTAGTTTTTTCATAGAAAGAGGATAAATCGAAGTGGGAAGGTAAACATTTGAAAACGGCCAATGGACAGGATAAACTATAACACAATAAAACACAATGCAGTATTTCTGATAAATGGATGAGAGACTATTGTTTAATTCTCAAGTCTCAACCCTTTTTTTTTCACCATTTTTAGACGAAAGGCACTGGTTCGAAATCAAGGACCTTCGAGTTTTGGAGTTAATTGGCTTGAATTAGAAATCCCGGAGATTTTTAAGCTCACGTTTGAAGTGCAGGGTCGAGTTTAGCTATGTTTTGGTTATTATTACTTTTTTTTAATCTTCAATTTTGTGTCCTGATAATTTGTTTTTGAATTGCATATCAATATTTTTTATCGATTTTGTGTAACACAGCTGCTCCAACCATGTTCGTGATTCATTTACCATGTCTTTGTGGATATTTTTTTTTTCTTAAAGTTTAACATTTTATAAAGTAGTTTGAACTATGTTTGTTGCAAATATTTTTCAAATTGTTTCATTAAGTTTTGGGATTTTATGTTTACACAAAAGGAACAATCATTATAAAACCTACTATGCTTTTTCTTTTTTCTTTTTTTTTGTAAAATTTTCATAAATTTTGTTAGGTGTCATTCGTCAAATAAGTAAAAAATACTTCATTAAAAAATTAGTTAGAACAGAAACTTAGGAAGTTTTTATGATTTAAATTTGATAAAATATAAATAAATTTCATTTATTTTAAAATAACTAAATTAAAAATGAGACCAACATGTATTTATGTTATTTTAATATAATTAAGTTGAAAATTAATATCATATCGATTTAGAATACAAACAATTTCAACAATTTCAAGACATAATTGATGTATCATCCTTGCAATTTCAACAAAGTCAGAGAAATTCTATTTTCCAATATGATTTCAAATAAAATATCAAATAGTTATTGAACCCATTAATTTAAAAAATAAAAATTAAATTTTGAAAAACATAAATCCGAGAAACAAAAACATTATGACACGTCTTGAGTGATTTGTTTTACTCAACTATCAAATCGTTTTATTCCTTTAAATTTGGTAGTTTCGATTCGTTGTGTCATTTATGCAATGAAAAAGTAGCTTCGGCTATTTAAACACGTATCCAATAAATTTAATTTATTATTTTTTTTTTGCACAATTTATTATTTACAACGATGGAATATAATTATCATTTATTAATTTAATCAACACGTCAATATTTAAGATACTATATTTATAACTTGGAGGAAAAAAAAGAAAAAATTGTAGGAAGTACAAGGGCATGTAATTCCCATAGCTGCAAACACACACCAACGCACATGACAGAGAATTCTTCCAAATATACATGACTTCAAATCAATTCGTTCCTTACTCACAAAGCTTCACGCCTCCACAAACAGACCTCTTCCATTCGTACACACGTACTGCCTGAGCAGAGTCCGTTGTGGCCCTTTGTTTTCGCTTCTGATCATCTGGGTATCTCTGGCTTTTGCTTGTTCTTCTTCCATTCCTCCTTTCTCTCAGACCAAGTGAGTTTTTTCTTCTCTGCTGCTCTCTTTTTAGGTGTTTTGCTTCTGATTTCTAATGGGTTTTGGAGTATTACGTTGTTATTCGCCTTCTCTTTTTGCTCTTTCGGGATTGTTTGAAAACCCATTTAATTGCATTTTTCTTTTGCTGTTCATATTGCTGATTCTTGTTTCTAGTTTTCATGATCAAAGTTCAGAAACGAAGACCCATTAAATTTCTTGCAGTGGTTTGCTTTCTTGGTGTTACTGTAATAACAAATTGCAGTTCGCTGCAGTTGATTGCCGCCTCCATCTTCTCAAGGATAAGAACTTTAGGGCTTACCCGGGTGCTCTCCGGCGAGCATCTCTTGCTGCATGTCAATGCCCTTGTCCCTGCCGTCGTTGAGCGGCTGGGCGATGCCAAGCAGCCTGTCAGAGAAGCCGCCAGGAGGCTCTTGCTCGAGGTACTTGATTAGCCTTTTCTACTGCAGATTAAATGGTTTCAGCACAATTGTGGCTGTTTATGTGCAAATGATTCCGAATCTTTGCTCGGAGAGGGCTGAATTTAATTGAAATCTTATCAATTGAATTCGATTTTGTTTGAGATTTTCTTCCCTTTACAACTATTTCGATATTTTAGTGCATATGTGTATTATAATGATGTTTAATTGGGTTGTCATAGTGATTTGCTAGAACGGTTATAATACTGTATTTGTTTGTAGGGTATCCGACTCGACCAGACTTGTTGATGCTTTAGAACCAAACAAAGTAGAAATTATGTTGGCTACAAATCCATTAACCAATGTCGTTTCCGATTACTTCTGATTGGAGGTTATGAATAACCTGTGTTAATCTATCTTTCTTGCAGTGTTTTCACGTTTTAACCGATGATCGTTTCTTGTTCCACATTTCATCTGTGGTGAAGAAGAAAGAAGGAAGTACGATAACCCGTTTAAATTCTTGTGAAATGGACATAGTCACTTCACCTGACTGTTTATTATAAATTTACTTATATAATGATGGGCAGTTTGTCACTGATGGAAACTGGAGGAGCCTCGAGGAAACCAACGCTTACACCTAAAGCTGTTATTCACCAAAAGTATGGAAGCAAGGCTTGTTACAAAATAGAGGAAGTACACGAGCCACCTCCAAATGGGTGCCCCGGATTGGCCATTGCTCAGAAGGGGGCTTGTAGTTTTCGCTGCAATTTGGAGCTTCCAGACATTTCTGTTGTGTCAGGGACGTTTAAAAGAAAGAGAGATGCCGAACAATCTGCTGCAGAAATCGCCATTGAAAAGGTCTGGTTATTTACATTTTTCACAGTTTTCAGTGTAATGTTCTGTTAAATTCACTGGCCGTCATTTGTGTTTTCATTCATTTTTATTAATAAAGTAGGGGAAAAATGGTTTTGTCTGGCCTGGTACTCTCATTTTAGGAGACATGAAATGATAAATCTCATTATCTCTGTCTTGATGTGTAGGCATTTGTGTTCTTGCTTTCAATGAATTATATTCATTGCGTGTGAACTCATCAAGATATCTATATTCTTATTAGTGTTGTTGAGGTGAGCCCAAGTGCTTGCCTACGGCGAGAGGTGTGACAAGGTAGGGCCTCAAGCACCGTGAAGGTATCCATGGCAAGTGTCTTCAACTTGGCGCCTGCCATGGTGCATCATTTAGTGCCATCTAGTGCCATTGCCTTTAAGCAAGGCGAGCACCTTATTAACATGAATTCTTATTCATATTCACAATATGGATCAACCACGTTCCTTTCCCCCAAATTAATTGAATATTTTCATGTTTGAACCAGTTTTCTCCATATGAGCACTATGTTTCGATAGAAAGAAGGATGAGCATCATGTTTAGCATGACTCTGCTTCTTACTTAAGCTTTATCTAATAAACAAAAGAACGTATGGTTGAAGGATTAGCTTTTAAGTTAGGAGATGTTTGTGTAATTCATGAGTTAGTATCCAGGATGAGAATGAATAATATCTATTACTCAGCTTGAGGGGGAGTGTCGAAGGATATCTTGAGGGGGAGTGTTGAAGGATGTAATTCTCTGAACTAAGAAAAACAACCGTCTAATTTAGACTTGCAACATGGTATTAGAGCATAGCGACTTGTAAAGTCGCTATGAAAAGCTGCTACGAAAAACCTACTATTGCAAATTATGAGTCCACCTGAGAAGTGAGCATGAGAGAGGCGAGCAACGCCCGTGGAAATGCTTCAAGAGAAGTGAGCACGAGAGAGACAAACAACACTTGTAAAAGTGCTCCAAGGGGATAATATGCATGAGTTATGTGCTCTCACGGCTTCAACCGAGGGATGTGCTTGAGTTATTTCATGAGCTAGTATACAAGTTGAGAATGAATGATATCTATTACTCAACTTGAGAAGGATTAGCCTTAAGTTCAGAAATATTTGTGTAATTCATGAGTTAGTATTCAAGCGGAGAATGAATGATATCTATTACTCAGCTTGGGAGTATCAAAGAATATTTGTGTGCTCCCGTATTAAAGGGAAGTAGTTGTCAATAAATCTTGTTAGATTTACCGACTTGCAACAGGTATAAATACTTCAGTTCATTATATCGGGTTCTACACGTGATTAACATTGTACAGGTCTATCTATCAACTTTTGTACTTAGTGTTACATTTTATGTGAAGATTGGACACTTTCATTCCATCAAGGTTTCTTGATGTATTGTTTATTCCTTTGCTTACAGCTGGGCATCCATACAAGAACAAATGATCCAACTGCAGAAGAATCCTGGGACGAATTAGTTGCTCGGATCAACTATTTATTTTCCAACGAGGTTAGTAATTTGCACACTTACGTACGGGTTAGAGAGGTTCTTCTGTAGCTAGTCATTAAGAGTTTTTTTACACACAAAACTGGATCACTTAATTGTCCTTCAAGCTAAGTGTATCGGTGTGAATTATAATCTTAGTTTGTCTCTCCATCTTGGTTTAAATTTACGCATACGCATATTGTGCCGGTTTCATTTTGAAAAAACACGATATTTAAAGTGATTCCTCATGCCATCTCTTCAAAATATTCTTCTGTTGATCTTTGTCTGTCTACTCTCGAATTGTTACAGTTCCTTTCAGCTCTTCACCCACTCAGTGGCCACTTTAGAGATGCCACGCTGAGAGAAGGAGACCTTTATTGTTTAGTTCCTATCTCCGTTATTTTCGCTTACGATGCAAGGATGTGTAATTTGTCTAAATGGATTGATCCTTGGGTGGAGTCGAATCCATACTTGGTTATCCCATGTATCTTGAGGGCAGCTGCAAAATTATCTGAATCTCTTTATGTTCCTAAAGGGCAACTTTCAATTCGAAGGAAAAATCCGTACCCTTCCGAAGTTATGACATCAACAGTTACCGAGTCTTCTCTTTCCTCTGAAAGATCTTTGATTGAAGTCGTACGCATTCCACATTTGCTTGACAAGCCTGTAGAAAGTATAATCCTCGATCTTTCTCCAACTCGGTATTACCTGGATCTTATTGCCAAGGAACTTGGCTTATGCGACGCAGCCAAGGTTTTCATCTCAAGGTTGGTGGTATTAGGTGCCCGGTTTCTTCTTCATATAAATGTCTCTATGAATACTAATTCATTA